ACCAGGATGTCATTCCATGCTTCCATGATCCAACGACACATTAGGTCATGCTCTGGTTTTTTCATCCTACACCCCTTAGTATATTTATGTTCCCCAGTATCCATCCATGTACTCCATTTCTTGCGAAGTCTGTCTTTAAAGGGTTTATTGATACTTACATCCAGAGGTTGTACTATAGGGGTAAGTTCGCCAGGAATAACTCTCAAGACTGTATTCGTTTCATAACATTTGTTTTTTACAGATGTAGTGAGATGTCTTTCAAATGAATCAAAAACTAATAATGACCTCTTTTGCCCTCCAGGCCTTTGTTCCCAAACTGATTCTAACCAGTCTACCATCAGCTCTTCGTCTATCCAAGCATTTTCATGCATTCTAACAACTACTCCAGAAGGATAATGTCCCCTAGAGACCCTTTTCCTTTGAATATAACCATTGGAGGCAGTTTCGATCCATTTGCAAGTATACCCAAAACACAAGTAAAACGGTTCTTATTATTTTCCGTTGTACGTATAGGTACTGACCGAGCACCACGATTATCAAGTGTAAGAGCGCCAACCATATCAAAATTAACAGGAGTTTCGTCCATGTTGACGATGCAATTAAGGGCAAAGTTATTATTTTTACGCAAATTATTAATAAATTCATGAAATGCAGTAACTTTTTCATCTAAGTCTTTAGGAAGTTTTTGAGAAGTCTTGGTACATCTTCGAAGAGAAAAGTCAAACTGATTCATAAAATGGTCGAGCCATCTGTCTGAGGCTTTAAAGTTATATACAGCATCAGGGTATGAAAGTTTAAACTCCTGAGTAAGTAAACTAATCATACGACGTTTGGCATTATTAGATGTAACTGCTATTCCTCTTAGACGTCGATTCATTATCCACTCTTTTAATGATTCTTCAGCAAGTGGATATAATGATGAAGAACTAGCGCCCACTCTGCGGCTTGTTTTTCTTGCATTTTTTATCATCTCTTCTTTTTCTCTTCACCTGCTGATTTGAGTATGGTCAATATTAAACGTTTGTGCTGCGGCATGATTACTTGTCTTTTTGGCATAATTAATTGCTTCAAGTTTTAAATTTACAGGGTAACTTTTACGTTTTTCTTTCATTTCAATAAAGTACAAGTAAGAAAAAATAACTTTTTCTCATTTCAAAATGACTACAAATTATGTATTTATTCACACTCCGATTTACACAATATAATACGATCTTTATCAGAATGGATAAATACAGCAAACAATGAATGGAAAGCACTTTATCATGCTCACAACATCGAAAATATTAAAGAAATCAAACAACAAATCGATAAAAATATTATCAAATGATAAAACAAACTCCAATACCACCTGCACTTATGAACCTGAATATATTTCAATCCCTATTAAAATCGCTTCACTTA